TATGAATATGAATATGAATATGAATATGAATATGAATATGAATATGATTATGAATATGAATATGAATATGATTATGATTATGAATATGAATATTAATATGAATATGTATATGTATGTGAATAATAATATGAAAGCAAATATTAATACGAATATGAATAAAAAAAAAGTGGATACGAACAGGATACACAACTTGCGAACACGTACATATATGAATATTTGTATAGTACGCCGTGGATCGTACAGATTTATATATGAAGAAACAAATATTTGCATCAATTGGAGATAAGTCCAACGAATTGATGTATCTATGCAAAAAAATCAAACTACATCTTTTTTGTATTTTGCCTTTTTGAAGAGGGTGTAAAAACCTTCGACAATAGCATTATCAAAGAATGCAAGAAAGAAACGGTATATTAATAAGGAAAAAATTCAAATTGATATAATCGGAAGATTTCGTCCATCGATAGGATTTCGATTACTTTATCGAACAATCGGAGTAGATCGCGATAGCAATATATAACACCATAGCGATAATGATGAATTGGAAAATATATCGATATAAATATTTTTTAATCTGGATTTAAAAGTAACTTTGCTGACTAATATAATTTCGGGATGACAGACATTCTATTAGATAACTTACCGAATCATATATTGATAAAGATATTTATTTATCGAAAATATAACGATTAGTTTATTTAATTATATCGATTACTCTATCGATTAATGCGTTTTCACCATTAATCTATACGAGTATTAAATCGATGACTTAATCAATTAATATTTTGAAAAACTTAGGAAAATTCAAACCTTTCCTTAAAATCCGGGCTTAGAAACACAATTACGTAAGTATTTGTTTTCTTTGGTTTTTTTTTAGTAACATTGTTCATTGGCTACTTTGCATTGTTTTTTTTTTTACACATTTTTGAGTTAATCACTGTAAAGATTATATTTGATTAAATGTCTTGTTTTTGAGCACTTATTGCAATTATCGCAGCATTGGATAAATTTCTTTGATTTCAAGTTGATACACAAAACATTTCACTACTTGAATTCCATTTAACAATACAGTCTGTGCTAAATTAAATTATAAAACTTGAAGGAGTGTAATGGTATGCCTATGTGCATACGTACGAAA